GCGAATATAATTTTATGGCGTTTTGAAAGTGTTTGCTTCTGCTGTTGTTGCTGGTTACCGCCACTGTTACCTAACGATAAAGTAAATGCATTCATTGCGAATGCAATCAAATTTTATGCCCTTACAAACGACAGAAACGCCACTATTACCATAACGATTTCCATGGAAGAAGCGAAAGGAAAGAAATGAATGGAAAAGAAAAACAAACAAGAAATATAAATGTCTTTTAATATCAGACCACTAAACTATTTGTTGTACCGACAAAGGTCGAGTATGAATAAGGGGAATTGAAATTCCATTTAGATAACAGCAAGTTTTCATTATGAATATAAAAAATCATCATGTAGTCGGGTTTTGTACCGTGGGCATTCATTGAAGTATATTAAGAATCGACAAACAACATACATAGTTGGTAGAATTTAATCCCACTAATTCTGCAGGATCTACAATGATCATTTGTGTAATTTTCATCCATTGTGAAAACTGAGAGATTAAAGCCTGCAGAGAGAGCGAGAGAGATAGAGAGAACAACGGAGAAATCTATGGCCTAATAAACTTTACTTAAGTTATAAAAAGTTGGAACTTCAACTGTATGTAATTACAGACGAAATAATGATTGACTGCACCTATTATGTAACTTTCGATGCTCTCTAGATTATGGAAATCCTTCCAGAAGGCCCATTCGGTATTGTCCACTTTTAAACTTGACGAGTGTATTAACCCATGTAAAGCCAGATATTTTAAAATCAAATACATACTTTTAAAAATTGAATATTTTATTAAAAATTACAAATATTTCATTAATAATTAACTATTTGGTGTTCTTCTTTTAAACTGAGTTAAGAATGTAAATTCGCCATAGATTAAGTTTTTGAGTTATAACTTGCATTTGTTGCTGGTAACTGTAAAGTGCTACCTTTATTCATTTGTTTGCGGCTATGTGAACCATTTACATAAAATCGGACGAAAGTAGAAATTATATATATATATATATATAAATAAATTAGGGAGGTCCAAATTTTTTGTCGATTAAATAAGTCTATCTCGATGTTCGATTCTCCCACTTTTCAAAAAATAATTTTTTCCCTATATTCAAAATTCGATGGTTCCTCCACCAAAGTTGCTTAGAATTGGCTTTATCGAATTTTTCTGCTCCATACAATTTGGTCCGCCCTAATATATATATATATATATATATATATGGGCAATATTGCCATTTTTTAATATTCCATTTTCAAAAATCGATTTTTTTTTTTGGTTTTCGTGGTACATCATGATTTTTGGTACACAAAAATGTTCTGAATCCGAAACCGTTCGCGATCAAATTTTTGGTTGATGCGCAAAAGTTATAGAGGTTTTAAATTTGGGCGTAAGGAAAAAATCTTCAAATTAAGCGTTTTATTAAATTGACCAAAAACGTTCATATATATCTTCCTTCGTAAAATAAGAATATGAATATATAATAATCATCGCGCAAAAGTTGCAGAAAAATAATAAAAATATAGGAGATTACGTTAATATTTTCATCATCCTAAAAAATTAATTTAAAAATATCTACATAATCTAAATACCACGACGAATCAAATGATATGAAAATCACACAAGTCTGTGTAGCGGTTTGTAAATTACAGCGACAACAAAACAATATATAGAGGAAAAATATTTGTTTTTGGTTCGAAGAAATAATGTCATCATATTTATTTTTTTTTTAATTTTATACAAGAAATTTCAGAAAAAAAATGTTGGGGTTATTCTTCTATTTTACCCAAATGTGTATACTTACACTTCATGTGTATAAGTATACACTTTGCGGATTGTACCGAGACCCTTCGGATAAATCTTGGGGCTCTGTAAGTAGAAATAAATCTTAAAATAAAACTATGTTATGAAATATACATTTTAAATTACGTCTAAATCGCGTAATTATCAAAATCATTTGATGCGCATGCGGTTTCAAGGAAGTCATGAAGTTTATCTTCCAATCCATGTATATTTTGCGAAATTTCATTTGACGGCTAAGATGTGTCACATGTTGCATTGAAGTACCCAAAAACTCGTAAAACGCGAATAATTTCCGAAAACTCCATTTGCCATTAACGCGCATCCGATTTCGATATGCACCCTAAAAAAATACATCGATCTATACCGATTTCAATGTGGTCCATTAAGAACCATGGATGTGCCAGTTCACACTATTTTAGAGATAAATTGGGTCTTTCGGCTGAAGTTTTTAAAGTTCTCTTTTCGAAAAAGATCAAAATACGTATGAGGTCATTTATTTTCACCAATTAAATCCACGGATTCTGAAAACCATTTTTTTCCAAATTATTGATGGATTTTCACGAAGAAGATTTTATATCATCCGATACGTAAAAAACCTTACTGATCGCGGGTACCCGACAGATCTACAAATTTGACGAAAAATAGGTTTTTTAGAAATTTGATCGCACAAATATATATATTACTCTGAAGCTGTGCATACTACATACACAAAATATATATCAAATTACTAAGATTCGCGACTACAATAATCTTATAATCGATTTTTAGAAATTCCTGTATGCGTATTAAAACTAGAAGTAAAATTCAAAAAACACTCAAAATCGCGCTTCAAAATGTCAGCATCATTTAAAGGTAGACTGGTTCGCCTCAACCTGTTTTTAAACATTTTTTTACATTAAAGTAGACACAGCTTCCACCAAAATAAAGTTTGGAGGTCAATATCATGAACAGTTTGCAACGACAGATCAATTAACCCAAAACTATTCACTTTTTTCCTATACTTAAGTAATTCCCGAGTTATAAAGGGATGAACCTCCGCTTCACCTATGTTAAAAATTGGCAATATTGCCCATATATATAAATCTGAACCTATTTCAGTAAATGTAGACAAATTATTCTTGACTCAATTGCATTGGATATGCAAACTTTCGTATAAATCGAACAAACATTGGCTCTTTGGTGCACCATCGAATCGGATGAAATTATATATGAGAGTTATATCTAAATCGGAACCGATTTCAACACAACTTAACAAACAACATTCTAGACTCAATTCAATACGCTGTGAAAAATTTTGTCTCAATCGACAAACCATGGGAGTTTGGTGCATCATTTACCTAAAATCGGACAAAAATATATCGGACGAAATTACATATGGGAGCTATATCTAAAACTGAAACTATTAAAAAAAAAAACAAAACTTCGCATACATCAATATGTATCCAATACAGTACGCTGTGCTAAATAGGACAACATTAGGGAGTTTAGTGCACCATTTATTTAAAATTGGAGGAAAATATATATATATATATATATATAATAATTTCATCTCATTCGGATCATAATTGTGACCTGCAATTATTTACAGACAGACATCCATAGATCGACTCAGAAATGGATTCTATGCATATTCTCAGAAGAACCATGCACAAAGACATAATACCCTGATGGGTATAAAAATATGAACAAGAAATTCAAGGATTTTTAAGAGGTTTGGATGTTATACAGCTATAGTCATCCACCAAGATAAATTGTCATGATAATGGAATGGATCATGCTTCTGGATTCATACAACAGAGATCATTATAATTCAACAAACTCTGTGTGTATTGGGTTAATATTGAAGCCATAATGTGCTGCACATCATGAACTGTCATACCAATAAAACTAAGATAATCTACATCTCGTGAACTTGACATTAAACAACTAAACTGTGAGGTTTTCGCGTTAGTTTTAACCGGTACTGACAGTGAATTCCTTTTTGATCTAATTAATTGGCCAATGTGATAGTTCTAGACCAGGTAGAAAGAAGCATCTTCAAAAAATGGACCGTATAACCGTTTTTCAAATTGTGAGAAAATCCATACATTTTTTTATATATTCGTAAAATGTCAATCTTTTATATATTAATGAAGGTTATGTCCCATATATGGTTGTGATGATGATTGTATGTTAGTTTATCCCATCACACCTTCACCGAGTGAATTTCAAATGTAAGTACAAAACATTACCTGGGAATAATTCATTTTTCCTTAAAAGGTATTGAAAAAAACCTTGTTTCAATGCATGTTAAAAATTCAACTGCAAATCGAGTGACGAGGGGTTGTGCATATGTGGGTATGTTTGTATGTATATATGTGTTTTTGTCCTTTACCTTCATGCTTTTATTCAACATCGATTTTACAGCTTATGGTAATGTAAACTAACTTGATTTTCTATTTTTATTTCTGCTATTTTTTCTTGCACACGACGATTTTCCTGAATGGCATGGCAAATGTATGCACTGGTGTTAACATTGTCATTGTCATCATCACCGTTATCGATGGTCGTTGCTCATCGCCGAAATACCACCATACCTGTCTCGTACGTTTCCTTTCGTCCCATCGCATGATCATCTATCCGAAAATGTTCGATGTCAACTACTCTGATGATGGAACTAAAATGCATCCTGTGGTAAAACTATAACACTGTCAACACTATATATCCTGCTACAACTGTTCTTGTCCGTGCTGTTGCTAACGCCACCACCACCACCGCCGCCACCTTCACCATCACCACTAACTATATCTATCGACGGATGTTGGTGACGATTATGCCGTTGTTGCTGTTGTGTACAATGATTTTTCAATCGTACCTCCTCCATCCGCCATCCGTAATACCATTGAATAATCAACATGTTGATTTTATATTCCCAACAACGACAACGGCGTCAATAACAACAACAACAAAAACTATAACAACAACATTATCATCGTCGTCAACCATAATAATATTGCAAACGTTGTTATTCGTTTGCGCTGCTTTGGTGGGTTGGGGATGCTAATTCGATGCTGGTTGCTGGCATTGCCGCCGCTGTTGTTGCTGATGATGGTCCTGCGATGCGGTGAATGGATTTCAATGACTGACTCCTTCGTCATTTGGCACCACTACTGGTTTATTGGTTCTTGCGGATTGATGATGCGTGTGCATGGGGGATTTCCTTGAAATGTTTACTTTAGACAATTTTCTCTGTCGGTGACATTATATGCTTTGATTCTCCACTGCCATTGTCATCGATTTGGATGAGTTCGGATGAACAAATTATCTCCATCGACAGTCGAACAGGTGAGTTGTGTGTGTTTGAATTTTGATTTTGTGTGTACACAACTGTGTAGATTAAGCATCTGAATGAAAAATCTTTTAACTGTAGTTGTATGTAGTGTGGGGGATGTGGATGGCTGCAGGCAGGCATGCAGGGTGGAGTGGGTAGTTGGTGGTTAGTGTGAATTCAGTTTTTATTATTTCAACTTAAGTATCCACTTATTGGCTAACAATCAATGTTTGTTGTGATAATACAAATTGAAAACTGCTTTAGTATTAGCTTTTAAGAGCGTGTTTTATGACACAAGAGGATAATCAAGGATGTGATCGAAGAGGAGAAGCGCAATAATGGTTTTGATTATAAACATTTCGCTGGTCAAAAGTGTTTTTTTTTATTATTTTAAGGCCTAGTTACGTGTGTTTACTGATTAAAATTGTTATATTTTGACTTTTTTTGTTAAAAAAAAACAACAGTTTGAGTAAAAAATGTAATAACATTCTATGGTATGGTATGGTTTGGTTTTCCCATTATTCGTTGTGCTTAGAATAATTCTTCGTTGATATTAGTATAATTCCTAAACTAATATCAATTTAAGAGCGATAATTGCATGCTAGATTTGGTAGAAAATGTAGCCAGTTTCTTCTTTTTTTAACGAACACATATTCAAACGATTTCAATCTGAAGGTATACATTATAGCTAATAAGGACAAATTCAAGGGCGCCATGTGAAGCACGGTGTTGCAAAACGTGTCCAGAAACCCCGAAAATACCAAATTTTAATAGGTTATAATTGTTACCCAATTATAAATCATAAAATAAAAAACAGATTATTCGGCTGAAAAATGTATCTAAAAATTCCGACACCTTTTCTAAACAGTTTTCTGAAATTTCAGAAAATATATTTATGTATTTGTTTTAATTTAAAAAACAAATATTGATCAATGTTTTAAAAATATAGATGACAATGATGACAGATTATAGAAATATATGACATATATTTTTATAGATGATTGACCTCTAATAATGATGACGTATGGTCACCTTAAGAATAGTTGTTGTATTTTTCTTTTGACTATTTTCCTGTCATATATTTTTTGTCGAATAACAAGTTTTAAACCCAGTGCCAAAAATCATAAAAAAACTTCGAAAGTTAACGTTTTTTTTTATTAAGGGGTAAAAAATTGCTGAAGAGTGACAGTCAATATTTCGAGTAGTTCACGTGATAAGCAGTACGTATTATTTGAAAATCCACCCAACCGGGTTTAAACAAAAACCTGCGACGAACGAGCCAATGAACTTTGGCACAACGAACCTAGGTGCTATGTGTCAAGATCTATCTGGCCGACTTTATCAACCAAGAGAACAAACTCACTGTTGGACCTGAGTAAAGCTGAAATTCATTACTGGTCATAGCAATATCAGGACCTTTACCAGTAAGTGGGACCATGATGTTACTGATTACTGCAGACTCTGTGATGACGAGGAGGAGACAGAGACAATTGAGCATCTCCTGTGTCGCCGTCCAGTCCTGGCCTACAGACGGCACAGATTAGTGGGTGCTCACTTTCCACCGTGTCTAAGCTTCTTTTGAACTTTGGAACCTGCTTTAATCTACAGCATCATTAGAAACCTAACGTTGTTGGGAAAGTGCAATCTTAGCACGTAATATGTTTTCTGTCCAAATTTCTATAGCCATCGAAATTATTTCCTACCTACCTCCTCATACTTCCTTATCTTTTCTATCCCACTTTCTCCCCTACAGATCTCTTCATATCTTTCATGGGTGATCACAATGGACGGGGCGGTATCAGAGTGCTTGCAGCCACATTAGTGACTGCACATCTCCAAACCTAACCTTAAACAAAAACCTTAGCTAGTAATTTAAAACTCAGTTAGGATTTTTCTTCTATCAACATGAGCATTCAGATTTTGGCGGTCTTGCTTGGTTCAAGATTTTTGTGTTGTATTGTGTATTTAGGCCCAACTGAATACCATGTTTACTTATATTTCATTAATCACAACTCTTATGAGTCGCTTATGGGCGATCCATATAAAAAGCGAAACGCAATAATTTGTTTACCTTGTTTTCATTTTTTCATAGCTACAGTTTTACGGTGATATAATGTTTTAATACATTTGATTTCTTTCCTACCATCATTATTGACATCATTTTGTTGGCCAAAAACAAACACCAAAATAAACAAACATTCAACAAAAAATGATTTAATTGAAGTTGTTCATAACTTTAAATACCCATTTTGACTTTGATTGCATGACAAGCGATGAGTATCTATTGCAAATCCCACAACAATATATGACAATAAATGTCAATAAAAGTTTTTACATTGACGTTTTTATGTGTGTGTGTGCGTGTATGTACACAAACACACATTTGGTTGTCATCGGCTATCCTGCTGTTGTCAACGTAATAAATATCTGTGTTACTCCTCTTCATCAAACATTATGTCCATGGTGACCGGTGGTTGTTCTTCCTTCATATATTCATGTATAATACATCTATCTATGTTTTTGGTTTAATAAACACTGGCGTGTGTGTATGCGTGTATGTGTGCATTGGTGTGTCAACATTGTAGCTATAGTTTCTGAATGATTCAACTCCCACAACAATTACTGGCCGGGTCTCGTGCGTACCCTGTTTTCGTATTTTCAACACAGCGGTAGTTTGTCGAATTCCGTCTGTTTGCTTTTATTTGGATGACAACTTTTGTTTGTTAATAAAACGTGCTCCCGTTCGAAATGCGTGGACAGTGGAACTGTATTAATAAGATTACAATTATTTTTTAAATAGTATTAATATAATATACCAACACCTTGTGGGGAATGGTATGGTCACTACATTCAAGACTTGAGGCAATTATTTCTTTAAATAATTTTCGTAAATTGCCTTATATGTTTACATGACCTTAGATAATCAGAAATTGCCAAATCTGCCAAAACGTTTCAGCACGCCAAATTTATTTGCTGCACTGAGATTCCAAGCCTGGACTTCAATCGTAGATATATTAAAAGTGGATCAGTTATAAATGACTGAATGAATATAATGAATTTCCAGATTCTCGTTAAATATTTTCATTTTCCAATTTCTTCTCGCTACCTGGTACCTCCACAGAAACTATTATAATTGGACGTACTCCGAGGGCCGCACGGGTGTATCATAATCCTGAAATAACGGGTATATCATTAACCCATTTTAACGAACTGGTTTCACTGTAACAATTTCTGGATATAACTTGCCTGGCTACACATTCATGTATATTATTCTGCCCGACAAGTTATCATAATTTATCCTGTTAATAACAATAGAATAAAGCAAAAACAAAACGAAAAAAGGAAAACGAAACGAATGGCTCAATCCTCATTACGGATGACATTTACATACCATTCATACGAATGAATGGACACATTTCCGGATACGCACCATAAAATTGTAAATAGCCAACGAATGATGTACCACTGACCACACAACAAATAAACGATGAATTTATTGGACAGTTACAAGGCTGACAAATGACATTTTTGTGCCAATGAATACCCAGCACCTGCCAGTGATTCTGTTATTTAAATCAGTGTTGGCGTTGGAATTTAAAATTAATACGATGATACTTGACGGATTTACAAAAATAAAAGGGAGAGTAATTAAAAAAAAATCGAATAGTTTGTCGATTTTCATGCATCGTTTTTATTTTTTTTTGCCTTGGCCAGAATTTAGACCTTTTTTGATATTAAAGTTAACCCCCTGCTTATTATGCAAATACTATTCCGAAATCCTATTCCAGTAAATATAATGTCAGAAGCAATTATATTACTTCTAATATTACTGGACACAAATACTAAATTTGCTATTTTAAAAATAATAATTTTTTCTTCTAAAATTCCGACCCACACATTTTCTTTATGTTTTATATAAAATATCTAAAAAAACATGAAAGGTTTATAAAAGGTCTACTCTAGCCAAAACTGGTATGGGCGATAGACAACAGTCAGTCAAGAAAAATTACAAAATTATTTTGTTGTTGTTTTTGTGATTAAAGAAAAATCCTTATTTTTGATGGTGGGTATGATAACTCCTCGCTGCAACATCGGAATCCGAAAATTCCAACTGTGTCTGATTAGGATTATTGACTTCGCTCAAAAATTAAAAAATGGCGGACGTTTGAAAAAAGGTTTTGTTCATATGCTAATACTATCGGTTGGCTAATAAGGTTTTATAGAAAAAAGTCAATAAAATTGAACATAAAGACAATGTTCGATGTCTTTATGATATTGGGATATAATCACTAAGACTGTGTACAATAATTTGGCAAAATGTTGTGAGACAGATCAGTGAACGGACGACCCGATTTGAACCATAATGAACCAACATGTTGCGAGACAGATGAATGCTCTTTACTCTGATATGTGATCTACAATTTACTTGAATTGATTATGGATTGTAATATATTAATATTTGTTTAAAAGTAAATCATATTTAAACATAATTTTATATCATTTGGATGACCCGATTTCAACAACCGCATACTTTAAACAAGCCTGTATCATGTTGACAGATGGGACAATATTGTTAAAACAAGTAAATCTATCGGTTGAGGCCGACTATATGATACCAGGGTGCGAAGAATGATTAAAATACGCTCTTTCTCACGAATGCTCATGGCGAGAATTCGAATGTTTTCAATTTATCGCGAATGATAAAGATACAATGAATGACCAAGCATTTGCAATCTCTGGCGAATGTTCGCATTGTACGAAAAATTCATGAACGATAAAATTTCGCTGCAAGCGTCGTCGATTCATTCTTTCGTGAGCATTTATTGCTGAAGAACATTCTTTTGAAAAACTCAAAAAACAAATGTTTGCGAATGCTCGCGAGCGCTGTTAAAAATAAAAACAAAAAAAAATATCATAAAAAAGTAAACAAACACAAACAACGACAGACCCACGACAGAGGGGTCTACGATCAGAAACGACCCGAGTCTTACTCGGCCAACGTTTGCCACCTCAGCCCATTGTGTAAAAGCAATAGGGCTGCTACAACAACAACAACGAAAGAATGTGTTCTCTCGGAACTCATGTGTAGTAGCATAAAGTGTGTGGAATAACAAAACACATGTCCAACAACTATTGTTTTGAGCATTCGCGAGAATTCGAGAATGTTTGATTTCATTCGTGAGAGATTGTCAGAAGAATTTCAACCACCAAACGAAACGAACGATCGTTGTTGTGTGCTCTCACTCGTTTGTTAATGTGTGTGCGAACATTCTTTGGCGAATGCTCGTTTGGTAAAGAATTTATCGCCATAAATTCATTCGTAAAATGAGCACCAAACGAAAAGAATGTATTTTGAATTAATCGCGAGCTAATTTTTGCGTCGATAGAACAGACATATCATATCATCGCATTGGAACCGCACTAAATTAGATATGTGATCTACAACGATATGTGTACTAATATAAATCAACCCATAAAATGTCATTCTGAAATTTATGCATATTTCTGTAAATCGTGTAGAACTGCGGTCTATACCATTTGTATGCAATCGAGCAAAACTAAGCATGAGAGCGATATTCAAATTCCTGCCGATTTGAAGCAAAGTTTACAGCAAAGCGGGCATTTTAAGATTTTATCTGTATCGAACGAACGTTGCGTTGATTTCAGACAAAACTATACAGGATCATCATCTATGTCTGATCCGTAGTAAACGAAACTTTATACATTTCATTGTAGACTTAATTAGATACGCTTCATAAAATTTGGTCGCAATCGGACAAACTTTGGGAGTTTGGTGGGCAGTTTTGTAAATCTGAACCGATTTTTACAAATCTTAACTCACATTGTTTAGACTTAATTCAAAACGATATCATCAAGCCGGGCGAAAATATATATGGGTGCTATATCTAAATCTGAACCGATTTTTACAAACTTTAGCACAAGTTATTCCACTCAATTATACACAATTTTTTCATTTTTAGGAGTTTGTAGTATATGGAAATCTGAACCGTTTTCAACAAAACTTGACACACGTAAAGCTATAATAACACTGTGCTACAATATAAAAAAAATTTTCAGGGTTTCTAGTGTACCAATTCTGTTTAGTTGGAGTCTCTGGACCACGAAAATACCTTCGGTTTTTCTGGGTCACTTCGAAAATTAATTTTATAACGGTAAATATAAAGAAAAACGTGGTTTCATGGATTTTCAATTTGAAACTTGAATAACTTATTTACTTTATAACGGATTTATATTATTCTTTTTTTCTTTCGAAGAGTACAATTTTTCCTTTCAAACAAGATATATATTTGGTAAATCGGTTGAGGATTGGCTGAGTTACAGCGGTTGAAATGTGAAAAAATACGCATAAAATGACAAAATTTATTTTTCTTGGGACTGTACGATGAAATTATGATATCAAGCCATATAAGTTTTATTATATAACGGGGAAGAAAATTAACATTGTGTAAAAGCAATAGGGCTGCTACAACAACAGCAACGAAAGAATGTGTTCTCTCGGAACTCATGTGTAGTAGCATAAAGTGTGTGGAATAACAAAACACATGTCCAACAACTATTGTTTTGAGCATTCGCGAGAAATTATGATATCAAGCCATATAAGTTTTATTATATTACGGGGAAGAAAATTAAATGATAAAAATCAAAAAAATCGGTTAAAAAATTGATGACTTATACACATTTTTGTATTGATTCTACGCATATTCTCTAAAGGAAATATGGGTCTGTATCGTTTCCTGTTACAAACCGTTATGTTTGCAACAGGCAAAAGGAAACGAGATAGACCCATAGTTCCTTTAGAGATAGATCCATAGTTAGTTTGTTTCGTTTGAGAAACTTGCAAATCTAATTGTTTGCTTGATTGTCCTGCATTTATACTAAGCGAAGTTTACGATGTGTCATTCGCTTCAGCTCCCTGATCTGTATATTTTACACGTCAGTTATATTTGCTATCTGTGCCTATAATTCTGTGGAACTCTGTAAAAACATCAATCCATCTTTATATACCACCAAAAAATTATATAAAATTGAATATTATACGAATTTTTTTCTTGATTTACAGCAGTACTTCCCATTTTCCAATATCAACTTATTAATATATAAAATGCCAATTATTAACTTTTCTAGTTAATAGTTTTTCATTTGTTGACGCTGTTATTGGCATTTCAGAGATATTGTTGTAGTGGTGTGCGCATACTACATCCATCCTGTTTTCAATATTATCGTCATCATTTGGGTCATGCTATGCCAGGGGTATAAGGCCATCGAACAAAAAGTTATGACGAACATGTATTCGCCTCTGAACTTTCGTTTCAATTCAAATGGACTTGTGCAACAAATTCTGCACTAAGTGGCATTGTACGCGCCTACTTTGGCATTACTTTCAGGGGAGCAATGCACAGAAAATTTACCAGAAATCCAAATGCAATCTAATGGTAAATATTAAATACCATTCTTTTGCTCTGTAGAGAGTTAAGTGCGCACACAAACACACGCACGCACACATACACAGAGGGGAACTTCATTGACTTGTAACTGCAGTCTGAGTTGTCGAAAGCCACTTGAGAAAATTCATTGCAGAAAATGATATACACTCTCCCCTATGGCCCAACTACACGGAGATAAATTTAAATTCTCAGGCAGAATGAAATAAAAAAAGCTTGCAACAAAAATATGGGTCAAAAGTACAAGTATAATATTATTAGATTTTGAAATTTAAGGTCAATAATATTTAATAAGTGATTATTAAAAGGTGAATTAAAACCTGATCTGAAAGGAGTTACTTCAAATACTGACGAATATATGTAAATGAACGTATAAACTCAACTCAATTTCCATACCACTTTCTTACTGTGTAACAAACCGTATTATTGCCATTTAAGGAAGGAATATGGAGCTATATATACAAGACCTTTGCAAACATCAGAACTGCTACTTTACCACTATTTTTTCATTTAAATATTCTTGTTGTTATTGCTGTTGATTTTGTTTAAGTTCTTTTTGTTGTTACTGACTAAAGTTTATTTTTTTTCTGTTCGGAACGCTTTCATCTATACACTTTTTTCTTCTTCTTTCTCTGTTGTTATTATAGGAGTTGGCAGAGTACTTGGAAATCGTTATAAATTGGGCGAAAAAGTGCTCGTTACCAATGGCGATAAGGCAAGCGGCAATTTTATAAAATATGATGTTGAAGTTCGTGATGCCGATGTGGTAAGTAATACCTTTCATTTGATTCCTTTTTTGTGCGCTACTTTATGGCCGGGCGGCTGATGCTTGCGGCCTGCAACAGTCTTCCGTGCCCTCTCTACCTCTACATTGGCCATCTATGCTGCGTGCATAGTACAATAATACAAAATACCAAACAAGAAAGCAAACAGGCGAGCAACCATCCAACCTATTTTGGAACATTTCATAATTTGTTTCCATCGAAGAGAAATACAGGCATGTCCATTGGAATGAATCCAAATGTTAAATGATGTCGGCTAATTTGATTATATGAAATTAGCAATGTTGAAGTGAAATTTAGACTATTTTTATTCATTTTTGCTCAGATTTAACTGTAATGTTGTTACAGTCTTTATTGGGCGATAACCACGTATTTGTCATAATAAAACGAATAACGGTTCTTGAGTAATATATGTGGATAATTCTGTCTGTACTTCCTCGTAATACGTATTATATATTCCTTCTTATTGAATAAAACACTATCCCAGGTCCATATAATTTCTATGAGTTTTAGATTAGCTAAATTGGCACAACTGTTTAAAATTTACATTTGCCTTCTAGCATGGAATTTTGTAGATGTATTTTCCGTACATTATATCCGCATAGTTATGAATCGTCTTCTAGGTTGTCTATATATAAACAAAAATCCCTCAAACTTCTAAATAATGGACCAGTCTTTTCTTAAATCTGCTACATTCCAATACCAAATTACAGTAATTCATTTATGACCTTAACTGTACAGTTTACACCATTACAACACAGGATGTATGCAAAAAGTCTGACGATTGCAATTTCAACATTCCTTTTCATTTCGTTTCAATCAATCCCCTCCCCACCCCCATGCAATGCGCCTTTATTTGAATTCAATTGTGAAGTAAAGTTTTTTTGTTGTTTCCTCGTTGGCTTGTTGTTAATCGTTTTTTATTACATTATTCATCGTATCGTATCGTTATAACGTATCGTAAGGGGAAACTTGCCAATCAGAGAATATGGTGCGGTTGGCCAAAGTCAATATTTGGCAAAGTTGTGAAACAAACAAAAACTCTAGCCTACTTGCAATCATTGAGAAATTGGTCAATACTCTCAAGTTAATCATGGCCCACAATTTGGAAATGAAAAATGGGGTTGCTGCAATGACTAGACATTTTAGTTTTTTGTTGTTTGTTTTCCATGGCAAGTAATTAAAATATGTTCTGGATCATGCATAAATGAATTTATTAAAGAAACATGTGGATGGAGGGAATACTTCCTTCAGTTCCATACTTTAGTCGTTGAAGGAGCTGTACTCGTAACAACATTTACTGACATTTTATTTATTTTTGTCGTCATTTCTATTTCTTTTCAGATACAATTTGAAAAATCTTATGATATATTTAGTGGGTCTCTTTATCGTGGACATTTTGTTGTGCGCAATCATTTGCAAGTTGATAAATTTACAAATTTGGTAAGTTTTCCAATGGAAACAACGGGTAGTAGCTGTGCTGCAGATTATAGTGCTCTCGTCGAGGGTCTATCTGCACTGCTTTACGACTATTCAATGCATTGAAGTTATATTGCAA